ACTACGAGGCACATAGCTGGCACTCCATAAGCCCATGTGGTCATTGCTGGTGCTTGCCTGAAAGGTCACGTCTGATGGTGACCCTGGCGCTTGGAGCTTCTGTAGCTGGGGGTCCCCAAGAGGGAGGAGGGTCTGGGGCCTGTCCTCACTGGCCCTGTCTTGCCTGCATGACTGGTTATTTCTGTGCCTGGTTGCTGTACCCTGTAAAGGGGATGGCGCCTCCCTATGCAGTGTAAGGTCTGAGGGAACCTGTGACAAGGGTGGATTTGCACTCGCTAGGAAGCAAGCATCCCGTAAAGGAAGTGGGAAGCTGTGGTCGCTCTGTGGTAACAGGTTAGGGATGTTCACCCCCCTAGACCTGCCCCCTGCCCCGGTTACTTTCCATGACCCCCTCTGGCTGTGTGTTGTGGGGGTTTGTCCCAGTGCAACGATTTGTCAGGTTTTTTTCAGGCTTTCCGTTGCACACTTGTTAACCTGCCAGATTTATGTGGAGACTGACTCTTTCCCCTACGCAGGCAAGTCCAGGGCTGGGAGGGAGAAAGGAAGGGTGAATGAACCTGCTCCGGAGAGGCCTCCTTCCCACCCTCTCTTCAGCTGCAGCAGGCCCTGCTGGCTTTCTGCCCACCTCCTCAGGCCCTCATAGCTTCTGAGCTCCCCCCCCAATCCACTCTCTGAGTGGATGCTCCTTCCCTTCCCCTCAGAGCCCTTGGTGCATGGGCTGACTGACTTCACTGCCCTTTAACTGGCTTCTTCTTCTGTCTCTTGCTTCTCTCCTTCCCTCCCCAGGCTTCCTGGGGTAGATAACCCTAGCGAACCCCCTGGACCCCATTCCTTCCCTTGAGGACTCCTTTGGAGACTCAGCTGAGTAGACAGTAGCGGGAAGCCTTTGCTGCCCCGTGGAGTCACTGCCGTGGGTCCTCCTTCCTTAGGTGCCAGCTGCTGGGTCCTCTGGAGGCCAGTGCTCCTGAGAAGCCCTCTGTGGCCACCGCTGCCGCTGCTGCCAGCGGGAGCCCATGGCCTCAGGGCCAGGAGGAGAAGGCTGCAGAGGAGGTGTAGGGAGATGAGTGGACCATGTGACCTAGCCTCTCCTCATGGGCTTTGTGGCCTGAAGGTCATCCGCAGGACAAGCCCAGGGCTCTTCAGACCGGGCCAGAACAGTGCCCACCAGGGGCTCTTCCCACAGGCTCCCTAGGGAGCAGAGGATGCCAGAGGAGGGAGAAGCAGGGGCTGGTGTCTGCTTCCGGGAATCGAGCTGTACAGGAGCTGGACCATGACCCTCCCAGAACTGGACTGATGGGTGCCAAGAGGCTTGGGTGGGTCCCAGAGCATACCTTAGCCAGCTCATCACAGGCCTCTCCTGGGATCACTTCCTTCATCCTGCCTACACGCAGCTTAGCTGGGAAGTGGTGTGTTCTTTCCCTCGTGGCCTGGCCTTCATTACTGCAGGCCTTGGGATTAATTTAATTACTTGCTCATCTCCTGGAGCCTGGGAGGCACCTGATGAGCTCATGAGTGTGTTTTAGGGCCAGTGAGAAACAGGAGCCTCTTCTCAGGGACCTGGTGTCCAGCCCTCCAGCCCCAGCCTGGAAGGACCCCCTTTCCTCCTTCCTCTCTGCCGCGACCCACGAGGGACCCAGCCTGGCATGTAGGGAATCTAGTTTGGGGAATGGGTGGGAACAGGGTCACAGGGAACTCAAAGTTGAGTGACTGGTGTGTGTGTGTGGGGGTGTGTGTGTGGGGGGGGTGAGGGGGTGGGGCTAAGAGTCGGGAATTTAATCTACTCTTCTAATTTAAAAGGAAGCTCTCTTTTTGTTCTAGAATTATTTGAAAATTGACCGGAAATAGCATAAGTTAAAAAAAAAGAAAAGAGTCACATGTTCCTCATGCCAGCCACACCACTGCCTGAAAGGGTGTAAATGCTGAATGCTGGAGGCTTCTTGCCTGCCCATCAGGAATCCACGGCGGGAGCTGGATGGGCAACATGCTTACTTTCCGAATGGTTCTGCGGCTGTAAAGGATGATGCACCAGTTAACACCTTCACCTGGTGCTGTTTGATAGATCTTCCTCTGGGCTGCGGACCACGCCTAGGAGCTGTGTGTGTGTGTGTGTGTGTGTGTGTGTGTGTGAGAGAGAGAGAGAGAGAGAGAGAGAGAGAGAGAGAGAGAGAGAGAGAGAGAGAGATTGCATGTGTGTGTTTGCAGCCATGCCAGGGAATTTTATGCAGCAGGGAATCCAGAAGAGAGGTATGTAGGAATGCTCGTCCCTCTCTGTGAGTAAGCAAGCTCCTCTCCAAAGCTCTGCCCGGGGTGGTCCCAAAGGCTGATTTTTTTTTTTTTTTTTTTAAACTCAGAGTTTCTTGTAGTTTAGGCTGGCTTCAAGCTCCCTGTGTATTCAAGAATGACCTTGCTCTCTTGATCTCCCACCATCAGTTGGGATGACAGGCGTGTGCCACCACACACACACACACACACACACACA